AGTTGTAACTTCGATAACTATGAGCGTCGAAGTTATAACTTCGTCACATTTATACGACGAAGTTGTAACTTCGTCAATATGAGACGACGAAGTTATAACTTCGTCAAGAATGTTGACGAAGTTATAACTTCGTCGACCGGTGTAACTTCGATACGACATATATATATATAGATATCGCATACACATAGTTTGTTTTTTCTGTTTTTTTTGTGCATGTCTTATGCTTTGAATTCATTCTTTTCTTTTTTGGGCTTTTTCATCAGCTATGAACTATTGGAATAAAGCAGGAGTTCAAAGTTAATGATATGAATATATTTGTCTAATATGATATGATAATCCGCTGTAGTATATCCTCGAATATCACTTGATTTCTTTGTCATTTGTTATGCCTGCGCATGATGTATCATATTTCTTCGGATGTATTATGTGTCATCATTAGAATTTTTACATCACGCTATGGGATGACGCTGCCGAAATGTTTCAGTGTTTCGTATATATATAAATGTGTTTTTCTATTATTTTTTCGATAATCTATATATATAAAGAAGAATGTTTGTCTGTTTGTCTGTCTGTTCGTTATGCATTTGGACACGGTACGACTGAATGAAATGAAATTTTGCACGGAATACCCATTCGTCCAGAGAAAGGTCATAGGGTCGTTTTCGATCCAAAATTTTCAACTTAGGAGGGGGGGGGGGGGTATTTGGACCTCTCTTTGTTGGATTCCCACAGTAAATGCCTTTTCCAGGGAGACTGTGCGTATGACTGTTTTTCTCAAAAAATCGAGAATGACAGAAAATAAAGATCTACGATTTTCGTCATCGGGTACAAGAGATTCTAGGGTATGAAAGTGTGCTTAGATTTGATTCATCTATTCGTTGACCAATTCGATGTTAGTACCCTTTCATGGTCTATAATATTTCTTTAATCAGTTTTTCCCATTTCCACGAAAATATTCTAAAATGATTAACCTAGAAATGATTTAAAGTGCTCACCAAATAGACTCATCATAGTGATTCTCAAAGAGATTTTTCATGGCGAATTAGAAGATAATAGAAGAAGATCATAGCGATGTCGTTTTCTCTTACGCCAAATACGTACTATCAAATTATCTTGACTAGTATCGGGTACTTCCGCTAGTTTTTATATAAAATAAGCAAATCCTAAGTAATTATTGAGATCATCATTGTCTGTAATATCTTCAGATATGACTAATTGGTTAAAAAGAATCGATGTATTATACTATAGTTCGATTAAAGACTCAACTTCTTATCAACAATCAAAATCGTACCGTAGATTGAGCAATGTAACTGAATTATGCGTCAGATTTATTAGGCAAAGTTTCTCTTAATATTCAATAGAGCCTATTTTTATTTTCAAAATAGTTCAATGATGATCATTGTAAATTGTTTTGAGCAAGCATTCTATAATAAGCACCACGTTGTTGTATCAATTCTGTTTGAGTACCGCTTTCCACTATATGTCCTCTATCAAGTACACAAATCAAATCACATGAAGGAATAGTTGAAAGACGATGAGCGATCATGAGTAATGTTCGACTAGGGTCTTCTCTTTGAGCTTTTTTCAAGAGTCTCTTGTACAATCTAAAATTGATCAATGAAGATGAAGTTTTAATTGATAAATAGGAAAATAAACAAACTTGTTCGTTGTGTGAATCCATGGCACTTGTAACTTCATCAAAGAGCAATACTTTAAGTCAACGAAGGAGAACTCGAGCAATAGCAATACGTTGCTTTTCACTATCTGACAGGAAACTGTCTTTCATTTCTACTTTTGTTTCATAATCCTGAAAAACGAAATATTATACAATAGTAATAGATACATGACATAATTTTGTATTGTTTAACCTGAGATAATTGTTCAATAAATTGATAAATATTAGATTTCCTTAGTGCATTGATAATGTCTTCCAATGGAACATTTTCTAAACTATATGCAATATTTTCAGCAACTGTTAAATCAAACGAAATTGGATATTCCAACGAGTTGGATACAATTCTCTGTCATATCTAAATGCAATAAAAATAACAATATGCCGTA